GTCTAGCGATTAGCCAATCAGCGCCACGCTGATGTCAAGCTGTACGCCGGTGGGTAACTGGTGAGGATAGCAACAATGGCGACCGCTAAAGATCCTACAGACCACATTAAAGATGCTATCGAGGTATTTTGCCACTACTCACATTAATGGAGGACCAAATTAAGGAAGCTGCTAAACTGGATTTAATGGCGATGCAGCTGGGCGTGCACGACGACGGAGACATTTTAAACGGGCAATGCTCGCTTGTTTTCGGCACCCCCGAGGCATGGATACTAATGACGTCAAATTCTGGGTGAGTCGTTGATCTCTACTGCTTGGTTAGGGAAAAATCAAATTCCCTCCCCCTTGTAAATCGCCTTCAATGGAGGCAATGTCAGACTGAAGGTTCTGGGAGCTTCGGTCTGACACTCAGGCTAGTTGATTGTTGATGTTCTGGGATGCCTTGTCAAGTTCTGCCTGTTACATGCATTGTCTTCTTTCAAAATTCACTTCTGTTTTCACAGGAAATTTACTGTTTACATATTGTCTCTTTCAAAATAAACGCACTACATCAGTACAACAATGTGAATAAGCCTTTTTTTTTTCTCCAACAACTAACGCACAGGGTTAGGTTTAGGAAAATAGAACAGGGTTTGGCTATCGAATCTTACAGGACATGAACACCCTTCTCCCGGGTGAAAGTCGGTCCTTCCGCCTGCCCTACTTGGACTTTCATCGCCTTAACTTTCGTTCTTGTCCTGCCATGTTCCTCCCTGATGCCGCTGAGCGCTGTTAAGCTATAACGATGACCAGCCGTGTACCATGCCGACATTAAAGGACAGCTTTTTTGTCAGTGTCTGACGCCACAAGTTACTGCCCAAGTGCTGGATTTTGCTTCCTTTGGAGTGAGACTGGGTTGATATTACAAGTAAAAGTGCTGTGTTCAAAAATGTATTTTAGTTGAAGTATAGTAAATGTAAGTATTTACTTTCCACCACTAGTTTTCCAACCATTAGTGCTGAAACAGTTTTTTTGACCGCCAAGGGAACTGTACAAAAAAATTGATTGATGTGTTCCCTGTGTTGTTTGAATGAAATGTTCTATCAGCAGTGCAATTCAGAGGCTAAAACACTTTTTGCCAGAGGACACACCCACACCTCACCCATACAGACAAGAGTTGTTTTATGAGTCACTTAGTGGTAGGTGAATGACATGAACTTGGTTTTGTGAAACAACTGGTCTTCTCATCACTGGAGGTGGCAGTAGCTTCAGTTGGATTTGCTGATGCAAACGCCTACATCAACAGGCTCTTCACTGCTAGGAGTGGCACTAACATTAGCTTGCTGCATTTACTGATGCAAGATTTGACTTTTGAAGCTCTATTGTGTCATCTTCTGACTCTGGCCAACATTACAGCCTACGCAGTGCCCTCAGTGCCCTCTGGGTAATGTAGTCTGTTTGGGGCCTTTATGAATCGCCCAGACAACCTGATATGGAGAGGGCAGAAAAGAGTACAGGCAGCTTGTGAAAAGTCACAATACACCAAAAAGTACAATATAAAAATGCTGGTACTGTGCTCTGGCGAGTTCCACTTAAAGCCCTTTCAACCAGCATGCAACATAGACGCACATGCACACCCCAGTCATGACAGTAGGAAAAGGTAGCAGTTTGCCATGAGAAGCAGAGAGGAAGGAAGAATACAAGCAGATCTAAGCAGCTGAGTTTGAAAGCAATAAAAAGTACTTTACAAATAATGTATGCATTAAGAATGCATTCAGCCTGTTTGTAAGTCCTCAAGGACACATAAAGCATTTGGCTGTTAGACAAACTGAGCACCTTAAATATCATTTTAAAAGCTACACTGACATAAGTATTTGACTACTCTTTCAGGGTTCCTACAGTCATGAAACTTCTGGAAAAGTTCTGAAAACAGAAAAATTTGGAATTAACATAATGTTTCAGAAAAATATTTAGTATATTTTTTTAAGGTCTTATTTAAAATGTGTTCATAAAAATCTCCAAACATGTCTAACATGATGTGAAATAAATTCCTTGTATCGCTAATTTAAGATCTGATGCTGTGTTGCATGACCGTTGTAATTTCACTGCTATCATGTGATAAACATAGACGCATTATGCCTTATTGTAAACTTCTGAAATAAAGTCGCAGAAATTAGTATAATATTATGGAAAAAGTTATGAAAAACTTTTAAAAATTCATTGCTAAAAATGTGTGGGAATGCTGTACTTTGAGCATTTCATAAACTGAATAATAATTACTCAAGGGGAAAAAATTCGGCAATAATCATTGGCTGAGGAATGAAAAAACACATCTCTGAATGTAATGGCAGACATCAACATATTCTGGGCTACATTTGCCCAGTCTTTCCTGTTTATTTCAAGTCAGTTTAATATTGTATCCCAATATCACAAATCATAAATTTGCCAAATGGGGCCTTTATAATCTGTACAGCAGCTTCCTCCATCTTTAGACCCTCGACCATCTCAGGTGACACAACCTTTATTTCCTGCTTATTCCTCATAGCATATATCCTCATCTTGACCTCTTTCATTCTCATCTTCCTTTTTCTCAAGTCGCAGGAGCTTATCTTTTACTTTATTGCACATCTCTTTCAATTAGCAGGTTTAATGAACAAGGATGTCACATTAATGACACAGAGCCTGGTAGTTAATGTTGCATGACGGACACAACTGGACCTATGAGACACTTTATCCTTTTACTGTGGGTATATGTATACACTCGCTGTGTGTTTGTGTGACTGAGAGTTACCCAATTTAATGTTGTGTCCATGGACCTAATTTTTACAAAGGAAAATTTTGCCTTTTTAATTTTGTTTACAGTTACCAGCAGTGAGTGCTAAGGAAAAAGTCTTGCTGCTGGTGGTGACAATGGATCCCCAGGGAGGAGAGTATACTAGACAGTGAAAAAGCTCTGCAAAAGTAAAACATTGCTGTGAGGCACTAACAGAGTGTAAAACATGTATTATCCAAATGGTCTTGGGTACAAGACACTGAGCTTCTAAAGATTAGTGCGATGATGAGATCTTATTCTCTGAAGATTATTTTTGTGAAAGTAAGATGGCGGTCCAAAAGGAGGTAAGCAGAGGGGTAAATTATCAAGGGCGTATACAGTAGACAGAACTATTACTGTAAGGTGACAATCACACATTGAATTTGAAGTGAATTTGAAGATTTACAGGATCCTAAAATGTGTCCTTAAATTATATTTTGGAGTTTGTAAACAGAAAGCAATGACACCCATATACGCACAGTATCAGCCTACTTACTGGTACCAGCTACTACATATGTACGTGCATTCATTGCAGGTAACAGCACACCTACTCATCAGTATCCACGCTGTCCTCAGCTCCCAGCACAGCACTGATAGAGGGATTACAGTGAAGGATCAATCTTCAGCCAACACATACGATAGATATGGAGGTCTGAGTGTCCACTTCCCATCTAGTGCAAGATATCCCTCTTTCAAATAGGTGATTTCCAGAAATACATGAATTGTGTTGTGCAGGGATGCTGTTCAAGGTTAGACTTTCTCAGTCTCTTTGCTCAGCAGCAGTCCAAATATTTTCCAGCATGTTAGACATTTAAGCATCAAGTCCAAGGTCTTGCTTTACTGGAGGCTTCGCAACAAACAGGAGAATCCATTTTTGTACTGATTTATTTCATGGCGTGAAACTTGTTATATTCCTGCCAGAAAGTGAATTAAAGTTTGTGATTGCATAGTGATTTATATGCAAGAGTTTGGGTATGAATGTCTTAGAGTTGCATAAATTCAAGGAGCGTCCGTGTCTTTGTGTTCTCCATGTGAATAAAAGGCGTAGAATTCATCCATATTAATCAAAGGTCTATAAAGGTCCTGCTCTGAACGGGCTATACTGTGAAATCAAATCAGTCTTACCACAAAGACATAAACTTGTCACTTGTCTATAATGTTTCTTTTAAGTAGAGCAAAAATCTTCAGTCTGTTTAAGAATGCAAACAGCATGTAAACAGCATACTGTGTCTGTTCAGTAGTCAATCATTTCTTCAGTGTCATGATATGCAGACCACATTTTGCAAGTATTTCATTTTGATGCAAGCAAAAAAATGTTAGATATTGGAGTATTTTATCTTGTTTTTATCTTCCAAAATATTTTCTTTTTGTTTACGCTCCCTTTGCTTTCTCTTATCTCTGTATTTTCAGCTACAGCTCACTCACCGAACAAGAGATGTTCCCCTTCAACGTGAGTGGTTATATAAACATTTAATAATAAATCAATAGCGTCAAATAGGAGAAGTGAGAGCAGCTTTCACAGCATCAGTATCGCTGTCAGTTTAATCTCCCATTCCTTGAATGCGTACAAGACAGTCAGTCCAATGGCAGCCTGAGGCTCCCAACACTCCTAATCCCTAATCCAAGGTCTGGGGCAGATTAAGAGGAACCCTGGGGACTCCAGTCCTTCAGAGAGGCAGGGATGGATAAATGGATGATAGTGGGGGGTAGAATGGACAGACAAAAGGATGGGGGGATAGTTGCAAGGAGAAGAAAATAAGTTTATGGAGAGACTAATGGGCCAAAGGTATGAGTACAGCTGATTAGAGGGAGAATAATACAAGGCTCTCCTCAAGATACACAACAGCAGGGTAAAGATGATGGGCATAAGTTATAACCCAGACAACCTTAAATATCAGGAGTGATAACCAAGCAGCACCCTCCATCCCCAGCTCCTGTTGAAGTGAAAGGTAGATATCGGATCGATGGCAGCCTGAGGTGCCCAATGGTGAGCTGAGGTTGGCAGATTAGCCCTCTCTTCATCTGTCTGTCTCTCTGTCAGACACCCCACTGCATCCCCCGCCCGCCCTGACAGGCACACATCGCCTCTCTCTTTCTCCAAGGTAATTCCAGACAGTAGATGCGCGCCCCGGCTGGCAACTGCTGCTGCTCATACTTGCTGCCTCTTTCTCTCTCTTTTTCTCTCTCCTGCGTCTCCTCCCTCCTTCCTTCCTTCCCTCCCCTCCTCCCTCCCTTCCTCTCTTTCTCTCTCTCCCGCACGGACGCGGCATACCTCCTCTTCACCAGCCAGCGTGCGTGCTGGGGCTGACGCGAGTACCCGCATACGGAGTGCGGAGTGCGGACCGCGGAGTGTCGTTGCGCGCATCCTCGGTTAATTTTGCTCCTGATTGCCTAGCCTACATTTTTTTCTCTCCCTTCCTGACGCAGAAAAGAAGAGTGGCTTTGGAGCTCTCTTTCATTGTATGTGTAAGAGCTCTCTCCATCCCAGTCTCTCTTTTTCTCTCATCTCTACAGGAAACTAGAGACAATTCGGAATATGGTACATCTCCGTGGTAATGCCATGTGACAAGGCTTTTCATCATTTGGTCTTTCTTTCCCCTCCAACAAAAGTCGCTGGGTTCGTCTGTGTGTTGTGGCGTTGGTGATATTCAAAGAGGGGCTAAGTGAAGGAGAAATAAAAAAAAAAAAAAAAAGCCCCTGGGCAAAATGGAAGTTTTGGCCGTTGGCTTGGTCCGCTGAGGCTGCTGCTGCTGCTGGTGGTTTGGTGATTGGTGCAGGGGGGAAACTGCGTCGCCAGGTCTGAAAGGCTGGGAATCACGGGTCATTACAGCAGGACCCGCTTTTCAAGATAATTAGGTTTTCCCCTCACATTATCGAATGGTTACAGATTTATTCCTCTAAACGAGCGGCTGCATCCTCCAGCCCCTCAGTTCGCTTTAACGCGGCGACGTTTGGATGCGGGTTGTTTTCTTTGCGGCTCAGCGTCTCTCCGCTCGCCCAGAATATGATTTAATGCTGGGAGGAATTTCAACAGGGTGCCAGTCTGTGACTACCCGGGAATCTCTACTTATTTTCCTCTACAGACAAGCATCACTTACTAACGTCAAGAGAATAATATATCAAGGAAGAGATTACAGGGAATTTCCTTGACCGCCCTACAGATGGACTAAAAAGAAGCTTCGGTTCTCGGGATTTTAACTCTGTTCGCTCTCACTCAGAGAGCCGTGGTGTTCTCTTGTTTTGGGGAGGAAATATATTTCTGGACAAGATGAAAGTTATCTCAGCTATGCTGCTCGTTGCCGTTTTTTGGAGCCAGGAGTGGAAGTCGGCGCTCTCGGATTCAATCATCCACATCGGTGAGTTACTGCGCTTTTTTCTCATCTAATTCGCGGCCACAATAAGGCTCTCTGTGCGTCTCTCAGGAAACAGATTGGAGGGTTCAGCCTTGATATGCGCTGCGCTGCTTAAATCACAGCATTGCTGGCGATTTCTTTGACGCCCTGTGGTATTTATTGGGACTATTGCATGCCATACTTGACATAGATTTCATGAAAACATTTTTGGCACATCCACTTCTTCATATCAGTGGTGAAATGACGATGTTTTGCGCAATTATGCACATCGTTCAAATGAAGTTTACATTTGAGTTGAGGGCTTATTGAGCATCAGTTGCACATGTGAAGTCTGTTACCTCAGAAGTCGTATATTTCAGGTGGTTAATATCATTAATGGCCACACAGATTTATCGATAAAGGCTGGCAATGCCAAGTAAAGACACTGCACTTACCGAGTGCAGCGTTTCTCTAGGATTTGATATATAATAATGGCTGTGTGCGCACAGGATGCGCGAAAAACAGGTGGTTTAGGATGGCGTGATGTTACCCTGCATGGCAGAGGGATTACCCAGGATGGCAGCACATTTTCTACTTTCCACCTTCCATCGTGAGCTGCTGCAGTGCCAGGAGAGGGGAAAAAAACAGTTTTATGTCCTAACGTCTTTTCCGCCTTCCACCACCACCGGCTAAGTGTGGCACTGTTGTGTTGAGTGTGATTTCGACATCAGGGAGCCTGTTCTTTCAGGCGATGTAGCAGCGCCTCCTGCTCCGGCTATAGGTAGAGAGAGACTGAGAGTGTGTTTGTGTGTGTGTGTGTGTGTGTGTGTGTGTGTATGAGAGAGAGAGAGAGAAAGAGAGAGATGACGCTGGAGAGCGTGTCTTGCAGGATGAGATGAGGACGCGAGGTGGTGGTGGGCACACATAATCGTTGCACAGCTCGGTGGCCTCCAATGGGCGATAGACCAGAGAGGCAGCAGTGTGTAGGTGCGTGAGTGAGAGTGATGAGCAATCACACACACACATCACACACACACACACACACACACACACACACACACACACACACACACACACACAAACCGGCAGCAGAAAGATAAGCACCTGTCCGTGTTGAACTGTTTTTGACTGCATCATGCACATGGCCAAGATCACATCCATATTTTAACAGACACACACTCACGCACATCCACTCTCGAAACACACACGTTACACATTATAACCCCCCCCACCCCCCCCCACCCAATCTATCTAACCCACTGCATTATGCTGCCAGGGAGGGAGGATTGGCCTGTTTGATCCATTTAGGCCCTGGCCAGCTGATTTACAGAGCAGACCCCAGGCCAATTTAGCGGCTACCTCGACACAATTTGCCAGGAACTGGATCTGTTCGAGGTCTTCTCTGGGCCGTAGACCAAGCTGATGCTTCATATCAGACTTACAACAGCAGCACGGCTAAATGAATGAGATTTACACAGGTCAAGTACATAGTCACTGTGTATTATGTCATTTGCAGAGCATTGAAAATGCAGGTGGTCTGCCAGCCAAAGCAGGTTGAAACCAAATGTTGGAAACTAAATATCTCAGATGATGCTTGCCATGGAGTTTGGTTTTAAGATATTCACATAGGGTTATACAGGCATTTTAGTGCAGTGCAGTAGGAAGGCTGATGGAGCATTAAAGTCACAAGGTGCTGAAGTGTCATCCTACATATGCTGTTGGGGGCTGTGATGCTGGCCCTACAGGGGTGGCAGTGTAATCCATTGGTTAGACAGATCACCCTGTGACTGGATGGTTTGATCACAGCAGCAGCCACATGTTCTGCAAGTGTCTCACAGCAAGACACTAAAACTTTACCAGCTCACTGACTGTTAGGTTTTGTTTTTTTTTATAGTTAAGAGTGTTAGCAATGTGACATTCTTAGGCTTACCAAGACTAAGACAGGGATCTTCATCTATGTAGGGTAGCTACATTGAGACTTCTGTCAGCTACTGGAACTAGGTCAAGGGTCTCTATATGTACACTAAGGGGTCTCTAATCTTTATATCTCAGATAACTGGGACGATAGTTTTAAGACGTGGTGTCCTACTGGCTCTAGGTTCCTGGAATAGACTCAGTGAGGTCCAATAACATGAAAGCTTACTTGAGGTTTTAGCTTTACTGAAATATGAATGAGTCCTTGAAATGCTGGGTAAATAGATCACTTATTCATCGTTTAGCAGTTGTGTGAACATTTCTGAAAATATGAATGTTTGTTTTTTAAAATGACTCATGACTGATGACTAGCACAGAGACATTTATTGTAGACTTAGTTAGGAATACGTATTATGTGTTTGTAGCAGGCTCGCTATAAGTCTGCAACAGCATAATTGTATGCAATTCATTAGTGCCCAGATATACTGCACATACAGATTGCATACTCAACAATAGCCATAAATGGATATGAGCTTTTGATAGTGCTCAGTGTCTGTGTTTATCTGTATGTCTGCATTTATGTACAAAGAGAAGGGTAAACATAAAGATGAGCAGAGATATTGCAGTGCACTATATTGGAACAGTCAGCAGGTGAAATTAGGCTGTGCAGACATGGGATTTACAGAGGTAGACGCTCTCAAATCACTTCCAATTTGCAACATAATCCATACAAATCCCAGATATATGTTTGAGGCACAAATTTAGTGACATGGATAATGAGAAAACCCAGCTACACCTCCTTGCCCCTGCAGTGCAAACCAGGCTACTGAGTGGTTTCCAATTAGTAGAATAGACAGTGGAAGCAGTGTGTTGTTTATTGGTTGGCTGGATTTATTCCTGGTCTGTTACAGCTTCATGTAAGTAGTGTGTTACGGGTAGCTTTCCCCCCTCCCCTTGCACAAGCAGGCGTATGTGCCCGCAAGAGTCGGTGTGTGAGTGTGGTCGAGGACAAAACGTCAGCGTGGGCGGTTGGTTGGTTGGTGTGATTTCAGTCAGTGTCTTTTTTTCCCTTTCCCTCTACCCTAGGCCTTATATCTAATCAATAGTTCATTTCCCTGCTAGCCACAGCTACTTTGAATCACAACAAAGGGTTATCACCCCAAAAACAATACCTCTCTCTTCTCGTTCTGCCTCTCTCTCACACTCCATCCCTCACGCATCCCTCCTCATCCTCGCCTCTTGAGCAGACCATGGAAACAGATAAACCAAGGTATGGATGCAGCGGAAACAAGTACAGGAAGGAGCATTATGATTATTGTTTTCTCACAGAAGGTGGTATTGCTTCAAGAGAAGAGAAGCCACAGTCGTTTCGGCACATCAGAATTTTTGCATTTTGCAAGTGGAGAAAATTTTCATCCCTCAAGACTTTGAGGTATTTCTTTCACTCCATCTTCTCTCACACTCTTGCAGTGCTGACCTGTGTGTGTGTGTGTGTGTGTGTGTGTGTGTGTGTGTGTGTGTGTGTGTGTGTGTCATATTGACTTAGGACTGCATGAGAAGGGGAAAAAAATACTATACCCAGCAGGCACATCACATTGACATGTCAGAAGTAATCCCTCTTTAATCTCTTTGTTGCTGCTAAAGACGGAATGAGGGGGAAAGAGAGAGAGAGATGGACAGGCAGAGGAAGATGTATATCAAAGGGAGAAAAGATGGAAAGTAAAAGACAGAGAGAATCCAGGGGGGAGAAAGGGAGAGAAGTTGGACTTTGTGTTGTCATCATGTAGTACTTTTAGCAGCCTGCACTGAAAGCCTCAGCCGTCCTATCACACAGTTGCCTTCATTTCTGTGATATTAACAGCAGTGACCGGCAGACGTTTTCATCTTGCACTGTCCAGGCATTAAATGTGATTGAGCTGCTAGGGAGCTGGCACCACTGCCTCGTCCATCTCTCTTTCTCTCTCTAATGATCAGCATGCAGAAGGAAGGGGGGAGTCCACTTGCCTCTTGGCCCTCACTGCATCATGTGCTGCATGGCAATGCTCTTCTGCTTTATGAGGGCGGTGCGTATAGATTCCGCACGTGTGTGTGTGTGTTAGCGAAAGAGAGTGTGCGTTTGTGTGTTTTCATGATTAGTTACACTCAGAAAGTCACTGTGATTTATGCAGCTAGATTAAGTCCTCACTTTGGAGTCGCACTGGTTTTTAGCCATGCAGTGTGTCAGAGTGCATCCACTTGCTCACCATGCATCACAGATGAGGGGAAGAAGCTCGCAAATGAGCCTGGTTCAGATCATGTTTTGTGTGTTGGCACATTTCTCTCTGTCTCTCTTCCTCATGCACAGTCACACACTATTCCCATACCAATCACTGAGATACAGTTTATTGGATTTGTCCTGGCTGTACTTATGAGTTTTAATGCTTGTTCTGAGCCTACATATTAATATCATTTGAGCTGTTCGCACATTTCAAATGCCAAAGGCACGGAATATTAAAATGAATTTAAGATGGCTTCATGTGACATACAGTCTTTATCTACTGCAGCCACATATTATGGATACCGCTATGGTTATGGTCTCCTGTTGTTGCTCCTGGCTAGATCACAGCAAAGCAGAAACTGAATGAATGAATACTTGAATGAAGAGGTGAGAGGAAACATGGGTTCCCCGATATGTTACCAACAACCACCATAAGGTGATAAAGTTGTGTAATTACAAATGTAATGTTGAATTTGCATGTCTATGTCATGTCATGCATGACTCGGTCATCCCTTTTGCATTGTGGCCATCAATAATGTGATGTGCCCATACGTTCTATCAACAGTGTTACACCTGAAATCATAGTAGGAAACTTAGTGGGTTCTTTTATCCTGCAGCACAGCATGAAATTTGTACATGACACACTGTGAATAGGCGCATTAGAGACCGCTTCATATGTAAATCAGTCTTTGCTGAGTTTTAATCATTTCGCAAGGGTTTTTTTTTTTTTTTTTACAAAGTAAAGTCTAGGCAAGAATTTTGTTGAATCATTGATGAATTATATCCATTACTGTCAACTCATTTTTAAAAGCACCTGTGCAACACCTCAAGTACAGTACTACCTTGCTGTGGC